TTTTTGTCTTAGCTCAGGAAGGACGGCTCCAGAGCAAACAAATTTATGCAGCAGCCAAATCGCTTGCTCACAACTTTAATGCCTGTTACAGTAACTCACAAAGTAGAATTTTTGCTCACAAGACTCCACAGCTTAGAGGGAGCATTGGTCATTGAAAACAAAAATTGCTTTACTTGAACTAACAGGGAAAAGGTGAACAGTATTTAAAGCAACAGACTCTAAATCCTAAATGTTCACAGCTAGAAGGCTACACGAGAATAATGGCGTCTCTTCTCCAAGCGAACAAAGACAGGGAAGAGACCCCAATATTGCAAAATAGCTGGTATATGAATTTTCCCATCAGAACACTAAAGTTCAGGTCATTCAACTAAGACCTCCTACAAAAATTGTGGGCTTTTCTCACCTGATGACAGATTGATTACAGTAAACACATGTGCCTTCCTGTTGACTAACAAAGTTAACTCTATAACAACGGAAGTGTTGCTCGACTTGCTAAACCCAACACTCTTGCTAAACCCTCCCACCATTGCCCCCCAAGCGCCAAGGATACAGAGCATCCCTGCCCCAGATGTAAGAACATAAGATAAGCCATGTTGGATCAGGCCAATGGCCCATCCAGTCCAACACTCTGTGTCACACAGTAGCCAAAACCCAGGGGCCACCAGGAGGCCCACCAGCATGTCCAGGACTCCAGAAGCCCTCCTGCTGTTGCCCCCCAATCACCAAGAAGACAGAGCATCACCGCCCCAGACATAAGAACCTAAGACAAGCCAGTGTTGGATCAGGCCAATGGCCCATCCAGTCCAACACTCTGTGTCACACAGTGGCCAAAACCCAGGAGCCATCAGGAGGTCCACCAGTATGTCCAGGACTCCAGAAGCCCTCCTACTGTTGCCCCCCAAGCACCAAGAAGACAGAGCATCACCGCCCCAGACATAAGAACCTAAAACAAGCCAGTGTTGGATCAGGCCAATGGCCCATCCAGTCCAACACTCTGTGTCACACAGTGGCCAAAACCCAGGAGACATCAGGAGGCCCACCAGCGGGACCAGAACTCCAGAAGCCCTCCCACGGTTGCCCCCCAAACACCAAGTGTGGGACCTGGAAAGCTCCCACATTTACGTCTGATTTCCACACGACAGAGATCAGTTCCCCGGGAGACAATGGCTGCTTTGGAGGGTGGGGTCTGTGGCGCTGTGTCCTGCTGAGGCCCCTCCCACCTCCAAGCCCCACCTGCTCCCAGCTGCACTCCCCAAATCTCCAGTTCTTTCTCAACTGAGAACTGGCAGCCCTGCTCTGCTCTGCTCGCGTGCCTTCCAGCAGCAAGGCAAAAAATTCCCCTTATGCAAACCCATTTCCCAGTATATCAGACAGATGGACTCACATTCTAGCTGTATCCGAAGAAATGAGCCCTTGTTGCTCTTGTCATCCTCTTCTCCTGTTGGATCCATTTGTTGCTGCAGAAACTCTCTTGCTTTCATAACAGAGTCAATTTCCCCCCTCTTATCTTTAAATTTAAAGAGTAAGACTTTGGGTACAATCCATTTGTAGGGTATGTTGTTCTTTTGTAGAAACAAAGCCAAGTCTTTGTATTTTTTTTCCTTTCCCCCCTTATTTCAAAGGGAATGTCTTTCAAAACTCTTATCTCCTTGCCGTCAATTTTAAGGGTAGTTCCATTTGTTGCTTTTAATATCTGGTCCCTCACTTGTCTTCTGGAGAATCTCACCACCACCTCACCGGGCAGATTATTTTTCTTTATGTATTCTGAATATGACCTATAGATCACATCCATTTCACCTTGGAAGTTTTCTACCCCTTCTTGTGGAGGCAGAACAAGGGGAAGAGAGCTTTGGCTGCTTAGTTTCTTCATGTCGAGGACATCGGGGCCAGGGGAGAAGGGGGACAGTTCTCCTTAGGGTACAGAGGATCGGTTTCTGCATTATAAGACGGGTACCTGAGACTCTGAAACCCCTTTCCGGCCCTCAGCCTGACCACTGCCTTTTCTCTTGCCCCCACCCAGGAACATCGACACTCTGATCGTGGATGTCTACCCTGTCCTGGACACCCCCTCCAAGCAGGTCATCTGGCAGTTCATCTACCAGCTGCTGACCTATGAGGAGCAGGAGCATTGCCAGCAGAAGATCGCCAGGTTCCTTGGCTACAAGTCCGTGGCAGGTGAGCTGCCGGCATCCGCAGGTGAGTTGCCTCTGGCTTTCCCAGCTGCTGGCAGGGTCCTGAAAAGCACCGAAACCAGCTTGGGGGTCATGGGGATGGAGACCGTGCTGGGCTGCCCACCAGGGTGGTGGTGGTGGTGGTGAAGAAAAGCTGGATCTTCATAGCTAGATCAGAAGGGCAGCAAATGCTCAGAGGCAGGGCGGGTTCCACAGGAAGTGGCCTTCTACTGAATCAGACCTCCGGGGTCTCAGAGTCTTGCCTACTCAGACTCACGGCCGCTCTCCAAGGTCTCAGGCAGAGGTCTTTCCCATCACCTCCTGCCTGGTCCTTTCTAACAAGATGTTGCTGGGAATTGAACCTGGGACCTTCTGCATGCCTAGCAGATGCTCTACCACTAAGCCACAGCCCCTCTTGACAGCTCTCCAGGGTCTCAGAGTCTTGCCTACTCAGACTGGCAGCCACTCTCCAGGATCTCAGACAGAGAAAGGTCTTTCCCATCACCTATTGCCTGGTCCTTTCAACTGGAGATGCTGGGGGTTGAACCTGGGACCTTCTGCATGCCAAACAGATGCTCTACTACTGAGCCACAGCCCATTTTGACAGCTCTCCAGGGTCTCAGGCAGAGGTCTTTCCCATCACCTCTTGCCTGGTCCTTTCAACTGGAGATGCTGGGGGTTGAGCCTGGGACCTTCTGCATGCCAAACAGATGCTCTTGGTGCTTGGGGGGGTCAACAGTGGGAGGGCTTCTAATGTCCTGGCCCCACTGGTGGACCTCCTGATGGCACTGGTATTTCTGGCCACTGTGTGATACAGAGTGTTGGACTGGATGGGCCTTTGGCCTGATCCAACATTGGCATCTCTTATGTTCTTATGTTCTTATACAGCTCTCCAGGGTCTCAGGGAGAGGTCTTTCCCATCACCTCCTGCCTGGTCCTTTTCAACTGGAGATGCTGGGGATTGAACCTGGGACCCTCAGCATGCCAGGCAGAGGCTCTTCTCCACTGAGCCACAGTCCCTTCCAGATCTGGGGGAGTACAGAGAGTTTTCTTCCCACCTACTCACCCATGCCTGTCACTGCCTGCCTGCGCATCCTTCCCCTGCTCTGCTTGCAATCCCTCCCGCTGCTCATGCTCGCAGTCATCCTCTGCACTTTCCCCGATGGCACCAGGCATTGTGTGCAGCTGGGAGTAGGCGTGACGGAGCACTCAGCAGCAAGTGGCCAGGGGAAGGGAGTGTTGGGGGCGTCGGCTGCAGCGAATTCCACCGGAAGCCCTAATGCCGTCTCTGTCCAGCAGCAAGGGCAGATGAGAAGTGCAGGGAGTCTGGGTATCTTTTTAAGGGAGGGGCAAATGGAAGGTCACTGAGAAAGCATCACTGGGCGATTTTGCATTGGCTTTTCCCTCCGTTGTTTTACGGAACCCACCTTGGAACAGAGGATTCCCCTCTGCCTTGCATGCCGGTTTCACTTCCTTTGAGCGTCGGATTTTACGGTACCCTCCCCACGGGCATGCCGCTTTCGCTTCCTTTGATCATCGGCAGGGCTCTTTTTGTAGAAAAAGCCCAGCAGGAACTCATTAGCATAACAGGCCACACCCAACAGCAGGAACTCATTAGCCTATTGGGCCACGCCCCTGACAGCACAGCTCATTGGCACATTAGGCCGCACCGCCATGTTGCCAGAAGTGTGGTCATCCAGCCACACCCACCTTTTGCTTCTTATTCTGTTCACCTTGTTTGTTGTCAAAACCCAGGGCCTTTTTTGTAGCAGGGACTCCTTTGCATGTTAGGCCACACACCCCTAATGTAGCCAATCCTAATGAGTTTCTGCTGTTGGGTGTGGCCTGTTATGCTAATGAGTTCCTGCTGGGCGTGGCCAACTCGGGAGCTGGCCGGAACACCGTTCCTGTGCGTTCCCGCCCAAAAATAGCCCTGATCATCGGGGTTTACGGTACCTACTGCATAGATTTATGGCCGTTCAGGGGTGACTTTGCAGTCAGTGCAATGTTGCCCCGAGGTATCTGAATGTGGTTTCGAGCTGCACGTTTCCCTCCCATTTGAGAAAATGTGGAGTGAACGCTAGATGCAGAATCGCCCACCATGCCCATCAGAGCGAAGACGGAGTAGGGCCCTGAGCACTGCTCCAGAGTAAGCCTCATTAACCTGCATCTGAGATGCGGAAGAGCCACACTCCCAATGTCCCCTTCCAAAGAGCCGGAGAAGCAGCAGGGAATCAGCTGACAAGGCCTCTTTTGGGAAATGTGTCGTGTTGGTGTCGGAGAGTGGCAGGGGGGTATTAATGTGTCACCCGGATCCCTGCGGTGACGGGCCCCGCACCTACTCCTTCCTCCGTGTCGCTGCCTGCAGTTACTGTGGCAACCTCAGCACCAGCTGTGCCTTTTCAGGGTGGCATTGTGGGCTCTTTTGCATCCAAGGCAGCCAAGGCAGAGGGTAAATTTAGAATGAAGGGTTTTAATCTTCAGCTCCGGGATTGCTCCTTACAAGGCAATGCTTGCGTTTGTTCCTGAAAGATTGTTTTTTTACAATGCTGAATTGCAGCTAGAATGCTGGGGGGGAAGACCCAGTTTTTGGAACATTCCCTTTGGAAGACAGACCTGGGTTTGCTTGTTAACAACATCTCCTCTTGCTGTCAAGTTGCTTCCAACTTATGTCGACCTGATGAGTGAAAAGGTAAAGGTAAAGGTTCCCTTGCTCGAAAGCCAGTCGAGTCCGACTCTAGGGTTGTGGTGCTCATCTCCGTTTCAAAGCCGAAGAGCCAGCGCTGTCCAAAGACGTTTCCGTGGTCATGTGGCCGGCATGACTAAACACCAAGGTGCACGGAACGCTGTTACCTTCCCACCGAAGTGGTCCCTATTTATCTACTTGCAATTTCTTGCTTTCGAACTGCTAGGTTGGCAGGAGCTGGAACTAGAGATGGGAGCTCACTCCGTCATGCGGCACCCGGGTCTCGAACTGCTGAACTACCGACCTTCCACAGCCTGCAGTTCGGCATCCTTGCTCAGACCTTGCAAACTGGTGCCTTAAACCCGAAACCCAACATCGAACAAAAAAGAGCGATTGTCCCAAAAGTGGGATTCGTCAAAGTCACTGCTAACTTCTTCAGATAGATCAAGATGAGCAGCCATGTTGGTCTGTTTGTAGCAGTAGAAAAAAAACAAAAGCCCAGGAGCACCTTTGAAAGACTAACAAAAAATTGTGGCAGGAGACGAGTTTCTGTGAGTCACTGCTCACTTCTTCAGATACAACTAGAATATCAGTCCATCCGTCCTCATATCCTGGAGAGGGGAGTGATTCTTCACAGGGTTGGAGGATTCCCATTCTGTAGGGTGCCTTCCATGGAGATAGATCGAGGTCAGTGGAGTGCCTTCCATGGAGATAGATCGAGGTCAGCAGCCGTGTTAGTCTGTCCGGAGAAGCAGAAAAGAGCAAGAGTCCAGCAGCACCTCAAAGACTCACAAAATGCGTGGCAGGGGAGGAGCTTTCGTGAGTCACTGCTTACTTCTTCAGACAGATCAAGATGGGCAGCCAGGTTAGTCTGTCTGTAGCAGTAGAAAAGAGCAGGAGTCCAGGAGCACTGCACAAAATTTGTGGCAGGGGTAGGAGCTTTCACGAATATCTGCTCACTTCTTCAGATACAGCTAGAATGTGAGTCTGTACATAGGGAGATAAGAGTCCTGTGTCCCTGTTCAGTCCTGGGGGGTGGTTCCATTGTTCTGAACTTGTGAAGAGAGCTGCAATACCCCCTCCAGCCACCTGCAGTGGTGGATGCCAACGAGTGGCACTGAGGGAAAGGCACCTTGGGATCCTTGCTTAGTGGAGAGCCCTGGAGCCTTACAATTTAATAGCGGAGAGCTCCTGCCTTCCTTTGTGCAGAAAAGGAAGTCAAGCGTGAGCAGGGTGGCCTCTCAGGAGGAGACGTCACATGCGAGGATTTTCCTTTTCAGCTGAGCCAGAGGCCGAGGAACGGCACCGCAGCTCAGTTCGGCCAGCCCCCGTGTGCCGGACGAGCATTCGCACCCACAGCTCCGAGGACGGCGGAACTGGAGGTGGGTCGCGCTGGTGGATTTCCACTCGCTTCGCGTTTGTGCCGTTCCATCTGCTTGCTTGGCATGGAGGAGGAGGAGGAGGAGGGAGTCCCTTTAAGGCTCTGCCAGCTCCCCCTCCAGAGATTTGGGATGGCTGTATTTTGGGGGAGCGGAAATGAACAAAGTCCACGGGGCGTGTCCATGACAGTGGGCGATCCTTGGGCTCGAGCGGTATCCTTCACAAGGGATCTGAAGAAGCGTGCGTGCACACCAAAAGCTTGTACCCAGAATTAACCTTTGTTGGTCTTGAAGGTGTCCCTGGACTCAGACTTTACTCTATTACTTCAGACCAACATGGCTACCCACCAATGTTCCCCCTACGTTCTGGAGTCTTATATGCAAAAATTCTACTTTGTGAGCTACTGGCATGAAAGTTGTGAGCGAGCGATTTGGCTGCTGCATAAATTAGTTTGCTCTACACAGTGATTATTATTGTGATAAGCGTGCTAAACTGAATAATATAGTACTGCAAAAATCAGAAAATATACGCTGTTTAAATAAGTTAAAGTGATATGCTTTTTTAAACAAGGTTGGAATACAAAAATACAGTCAGTTTCAAATAAACAGGAGTGGTTTTTAACGAAGCAAATGATGTTAACGACGTGCTCCGGAATGTCCTGTGTCGTTTCGACGTTCCTTCTTCTGAACAAGATTCTATTGATAATTTCCAGTTTTTTGTCTCATCTATAAGAGTAAAAATGAGGCCTGATGCTCACATGATTTTTCTTCATAGGTCAATAACAAAGCACAATTGCTAGTAGAAAATTCATGTCGGGCGAGTAACAGTCAAATAGAAGCCCAAAATGAATTTTCTACTAGCAATTGTGCTTTGTTATTGACCTATG